GGCCTCTGCAGTTCTCAGCCTTTTCCTCTGATGACCAGAGTGGCTTCTTCTCTCTAAGAAGACCCAGGTGTTACCGAGCTTATCCTTCTGCCAATGCTAAAGACTCAGTAACCTCTACTCCTCAAAGGTGGTGATGAAACGGCACCCCAGCCAGGCACGGTGGCTCACACCTGTAATCCCAGCTCTTTGGGAGGCCGAGGCAGATCGATCACCTGGAGGTCAGGAGTCCCAGACCAGCCTGGGCAACATGGTAGTGCAACCCCATCTCTACTAAAAGTATAAAAATTAGCTGGGTGGCGCGGTGGGCACCTGTAATCCCAGCTACTAGGAGGCTGAGGCAGGGGAATTGCTTGAACCCAGGAAGTGGAGGTTGCAGTGAGCCGAGATCACACCACCGCACTCCAGTCTGGGTGACAGAGGAGACTCACAAAAACAAACCAAAACCCATAGCACTCTGATAGAGAGGGAGAACCCAGTGCTGACTCTAGAGCCAGGCAGGGTGAGGCGTGGTGGGGCTGGGGGAGCAGCGGTGAGCAGCTCTGCAGATGCCGACAGGGAAACAATAAGGGGTGGGGGACTTGGGGATGTCAGCCTGTTCATTCCTTGAAGGCAAACTGGTTTTTGACAAACGGTCTTTATGTTGTATCTAAAATATTGATGCCACCAGCCTCAAATATAGTAAGACCCTATCTCTACAGATTTTTTTTTTTTTTTTTTTTTTTTTGAGTCTTGCTCTGTCACCCAGGCTATACAATGGCACGGTCTCAGTTCACTGCCACCTCTGCCTCCCAGGTTCAAGTGATTCTCCTGCCTCAGCCTCCTGAATAGCTGGGTTTATAGGTGCCTCTACCACCGCCCCAGCTAATTTTTGTATTACTGCAGTAGAGATGGAGTTTCACCATGTTGGTCAGGCTGGTCTCGAACTTCTGACCTCGTGATCAGCCCACCTCAGCCTCTCAAAGTGCTGGGATTATAGGCGCGCTCCAGCGCCCAGAACTTTTTCTTTTTCTTTAAGACAGAGTCTGTTTGTTACCCAGGCTGGAGCAGGCCAGGCAGGATTCAGCCACTGCACCTCCGCCTCCCAGGTTCAAGTGATTCTCCTGCCTCAGCCTCCTGAGTAGCTGGGATTACAGGTGCATGCCACACATTTGGCTAACTTTATATTTTTAGTGGAGAAGGGGTTTGCCATGTTGGCCATGCTGGTCTTGAACTCCTGACCTCAAGTGATCTGCCCACCTCAGCCTCCCAAAGTGCAGGGATTACAGGCATGAGCCATCGTGCCCAGCCCAGAAACATTTTTAAAAATTAGCTGGGCCTGGTAGCGTGCTTGTAGTCCCCAGCTACTCAGAGGCTGAGGAGGAAGGATTGCTTGAACCCAGAAGGTCAAGGCTGCAGTGAGCTGTGACCTCACCACTGCACTCCAGCCTGGGTGACAGAGTGAGACCCTGTCTCGATAGATGTAGATAGATAGATGGATGGATGGATAGATAGATAGATAGACAGATAGATAGATAGATAGATAGATAGGCCAGGCACGGTGGCTCACGCCTGTAATTCCAGCACTTTGGGAGGCCGAGGCAGGAGAATCACGAGGTCAGGAGATCGAGACCATCCTGGCTAACACGGTGAAACCCCATCTCTACTAAAATACAAAAAATTAGCCGGGTGTGGTGGCGGGCGCCTGTAGTCCCAGCTACTCGGGAGGCTGAGGCAGGAGAATGGTGTGAACCCGGAGGCGGAGCTTGCAGTGAGCCGAGATCGCACCACCGCACTCCAGCCTGGGAGACAAAGTGAGACTCCTCAATTTAAAAAAAAAAAAGATAGATAAATAGATAATTGATAGATAATGATTAATAGATGACAGATGATTGATAGACAATAGGTAAATGATTAATAGATGATAGATGATTGATTATTGATAGGTGATAGATGATTGGTAGATTATTGTTAGATGATAGATGATTAATTGATAGATGACAGATCGAAGGATTACAGATGATAGATAGGTGATAGATTGATTGATTGATTGACAGATGCTAAACTTGAAAAGCAACTGTGTGGCTGAGCCTCCAGGGACTCTTCCCCCTGAGGCCAGGATGTGCAAACTCAGCTTGCTCCACATGGTCCAGAGACCACTGAGAGCCAAGGACTGGACCCCAATGCCCTCCCTCTTCAATGGCTAGCTGGGGTCAGTGAGGCCTCGCATGGCCCTGGCCAGGCAGCAGGATGAGGAGAGGGGCCGTGAGCTGCAGGGCCAGCTGAGGAGCTGGACGTTTGTGATGAACGCTGTCCCTTGCTGTTCTGTTAAAAGGAGATCTGTAAGGCAGGACAGGCCGACTGTCCCTGGACAGGACTCCAGATAGCCAGGACAGGGCTAGAGGATCACAAGGGGCTGGCCGTCCATCCCCAGAAGGCTGGGCTGTGGCTTCAGAGCCTGATGGGTCTGGACGGGCTCTTTCCCCACTGGGCCACCATGGGTGAGCCGCTTCCGTTTCTCTTGGAGCAGCAGTTTCCAGATCGTGGAGCAGGGACAGTGGCCTCATACAGATGGCTGAGGGCCCAGCACCCACTACACTGGAGTTTAGGTTGCGTGGATCCATGCAGACTCCCCCCAGTTTCACCTTGGGACTTAGCGTGAGACGCCTGTGGATCCCGCCAGCTCGGAGCTGAGAGGTTCACGGGTCCTCTTCTCCTGGCAAAGATGCAGCCGGCCTCAGTCCTCTCGCCCACCTCTGTGCTCTCAGGACACCCAGGACTCTCCAAACAGGACTTGGGTAGGAGAGGCAGGAACCCAGGAAACCCCAGTGCCAGCTCCCGGCTTGCTCAGCGCCCTGGTGTGCGCGTTCTGCCCCTGAGATTTGGATCATGGACCTTTCCAAGGAGAGGCAGAGCTGGGGCGCCCACCCACCTCCATTCACAAAGGCCAGGACGAACCGGTCTGCTCCTGGCCTGCCATGGGGGAGAGGCTCCTGCTGTCCTAGTTTGGGTGCTCGGGTCAGGTGGTTTCCCTCTGTTCCTGTGGACAGTGAGGAGGGGAACAGGGCCTGGCCTCGCCAGCTCACTCGGCCCACGCCAGCCCGGCCTGGGAGCTATAAACAGCAGCTGCAGCGTGAGTTACTGCCCTGCCACTCTCCTACCATGAGTCAGCCTGCCCCGGCCTGAGCTGGTGCCCGGAGGAGCCGGGGAGCCGGCCCGACGCCCTGCCCCCAGCCGCTGGTGGGTCACAGAGACGAAGGCAGGCAGGCAGACTGGGAAGGGGCAGGGCTGTGGTCTGAGTGCTTGGGTGCCCAGCAGCCCCGTGTAGGTGGGCACCCTGCCCGTGTGTTCCCAGCAACCCTGGCAGGCGGGCAACAGTGATGCCACTGACAGATGGGGGAACCGAGGCTTTGGAGAAGGCGCTCCCTGCAGGCAGCCGTAGAGCAGAAGCTGGGATTTGTCTGCCTCGGGGCTGCCTCCATCTCTGCTGAGGGCACCCCCCAGATGAGGGTCAGGGGCCGGGCCATGTTTCAGATGCCCCCCACAGGGCTGGGGCTTTCAGACAGGAGGGAGGTGCACACCAGGAGACTCAGGCCAGGCCATGGATGCCAGGCTGAGAAGCTGGACCTTGACCTGGGAGAAGGGAGCCATGGGTGGCGCAGAGCAGGGGAGGCCCATGTCCCAGTTGGAGCATTGAGTGGCAGAGTAGAAGGAGGGCTGCAGAGCGGGGTTCAGAGGCCAGGAGGGAGAGTGGGGTCAAGTCAGGAGAAGCAGAGTACTGCCATACGAATCCAGTGCCCCTGGCCTCAGTGGCAACAGGAGAGGGACTTATGCTTGGGGGCAGTGCCAAGTCTCTTCTTCAGAGGCAGAAGGGCCCACCTCATCCAGGGCCATAGAAATGGTGGTCATGGAGAACCCAGGAGCTGAGGGCCGAGGGCTTCCCTGGGCTGCAGCACTCTGCTCACAGGCTCAGACAGGGAGCTCACCACCTTCCAGACCAGCCTCTCACCCACTGACCACTCTGACTCGGGAGAGACCCCTGTGGGTCCCAGAGCTGGTCTTCCACCAAGGGGCGCTTCTCTAACAGCCTGCGGCCTGGGACTGTCTCTCACACTCAGTCACCCGTGAGTGCACCTTCTGACCTGGGCTACTGGACCCCAAAGTCCAGTCTCCTCTGGGATCTGCCCGATGAGGCCAAAAGGAACCTCAGCCTCCAGGTCTCCAAAATGGAGGAGGAGCCATGGTCTCTTGTGGATACACAGACGCCATCAGGAAAGCCAGTGCTCCCTGCTCCGCCTCCTGTTGGGGGAACACAAACATTTTCCTAACCCAACACTGCAACCCATTCTTCTGCAGAGCAGCACCAGCCTCTTTGCTCATCCCCACCTCCCTAGGCCTGATCAAGCAAGTGGCCGTTCCCAGTCCACAAACCAGCCCTAAGGAGCTAAGTCCACTTCTACCCCCACCCCCGCCCCTGCCCAGGCCCCTGGGATGGGTGGGCCTCCAGGTGCACCCCACTGACCTGAACCCTCCCACCTCCGCCTCCGCTTCGAAACCTGTTCATTGAGGCTGATTGCGGACGTACCATTTCACACAACGCACCCTCTGGTTCCCCGCCCTGCGTGACTGCCCCAGCCGGCCTCAGGGGCCCCATTCTGCACTCCCCTTTATCCGCATTTTCTGCCAAAGCCCCCCACCGGCTGGACTCTGCTCCTCCCGAGCCGGCTCCTGGCCCCACTGGGTTTCGCGAGCTGCCCCCACGCCTCATCCCGAGGGAGGGCGCGCCGCAGGTGGCCACGCGGCAGCATGGGTCCTGATCCGGCGACTCCCCACCCCGGCGCGGGCAGGGGTGCCGTGGGGGTCGCGTCCGGGGTCCCCGTGGCCGGCGGTGACCTTGGCCAGGCGGCGCGCGGGCCCCGTGGGCGCGGGTCCCCGGGGCGGGGCGGGGCGGGGCGGAGCGCGCGGGGCCCGGCGGGCGGGGACGGCGCGGCATGACCAGGCGGCCGGGCGGCGGGGCGGCGGCGCCAGCGGACACCGGAGCGGGCAGGAGCAGCGCCGCGGCGTCAGCAGGACCAGCGGGCCCAGGTAGGCGGCCTGGGGCGGGGCGGGGTCCCTGCGCAGCCCCCGGCCGGCCGTCCTCCCCGCCGCGCGTCCTCCTTTGTCCCGGCCCCACCTCCCGGGCCTCGGGGCCGGGCCCTTCCCCGCCTGGCTCCAGGGCCCCTGGCCGGGCGCCCCCGGTCCCATCCCGCCAGCCCGGCCGGCCCCTCCGCGGCTCACCTTGGACAGCTCCCGGCCGCCTCCCCTCCCCCACCCGGAGGGCGCCCCCCTGCCGAGCCCGCCCCACCGAGGCCCACCCCGCCGCCCCTCTCCGCATTGGTCCCCTCGGGCAGGGCCTCCTCCCTCCTGCAGCTGCCCACTTCGCCCTCCGCCCCGCTGCCCAGCCAAGCCCCTCCCTCCGCGCCCCTTCCCGGGGTGGGCTCCTCCTCTTCACCACTGAGGTCCTCCTGAGTCAAGGGGCGCCCCTGGGCTGGCCCCGCACTGTGCCTCTGCGCCCTCGGCCCCCTAGAGCAGGCCCTCTCTCCATCAGACCCCTCACCGGTCAGGCGGCCCTGGGTCAGACCCCCGCCCCACCCTTGGTCAGGCGTGACCCCTGCTAGACCCCTGGGTCGCGGCTCTCTCTGCTTTCCTGACCCTGAGCTTGCTTTGACACCCCCGCCCCCACCAACCATTCCGTGTCCGGCCAGGAGCCGGGCTTCAGGGACCCAGGGCTGGGGTACATTGGCCCTGCCTGGGTGTCCGGTGGTGGGCTGCCCGGCACAGGCGGGAAACCCCGGGAGTGTAGCCAAGCAGGGTGGGCTTCCAGCCCAGTATGCCCCTCCACCCCCCTGCTCTGTGACCTTGAGCCAGCCCCTCCTGCTCCCGCCTCAGTGCCCACGACCCCCTCCCTCCACCCGCATCCCCCAGGAGGTGGAGGTGGGAAGCCGCGTGGGCTTCGTGGGCTTCAGGGCTCTGGAGTGCAAGCGCCTTCCTAGTCAGGGATTCCAGACCCAGTGGGGCTGCTCGGGGAGGACAGTGCTGCTGATGGGGGCTGGAGCTTCGGCGCCCACAGCAAGGCAAAGGCTGGGTCTGGGTCCACAGAACCCATGGCCGTTAGGACCCCAGACCCATCTTGGTGGCATCTTTCTGCACAGCAGCGTGCCTGCCTCTCAGGGCGCCCACCCAGGAAAGGGCAGGGTCTGCAGCGCAGGCCGCCTCCCCCCCAACCACCAGCACCCCCAGCCTCCTCCGAATGTCCAGAATTACTATGCATGGAGTCCACACACCCGGCAGCCAATCACATGAGTTGGCACTGCCGAGGCGCCCAGAAGTTTGCCTGGCTCATCACAACTGGGGACTGTGTCAGCTGGCGCTTTCATCATCCTGTTTTCTTTTTCTGGCAAATCTGTTACCCTTGATAATCCAGAAGGTGCCTTTGCAACCAACTGGCACAGCCAAGTGCTCTGCCTACCGGCCCCAAGCCCTTGTGATTGTGATCACTGTGGTGATCGGAGTCTCTGCTGGACGGGGCACTGCCTGGGACCTTTCTCCACCTTGTCACCTTACTTGTCCCAACAGTGGCTCGCATTTCACAGAAGAGAGAACGGAGGCTTGGGGACTTGAATGTGCCTGTTTAGGTTCAAACCACTGGCTCCCGGGGAACCTCTGGACCCTCCCCATAAACACACCCCCACCCCAAGTGCAACAGCAAGTAGGAACTGGTGCCTCCTTCTCTCCCACTGTAGACCACCTTGCTGGGGGACTCCCCACCCCCATCCCAGAGACTGGAAGGAGGAAGGGGAGGGGAGGACATAAATTCGGGAGATAAGCCACCTGCCATTCCCCCAGGGTTCTCTCCCCACCTCCATCCTTTCAGGATCTGCTGTGCTGTGTGACCTCCTCAGGCTGCTGGACCTCTCTGAGCCCAAGAGAGAAGAGAGGGGCCAAAAGGACCCCTCCCAGGAAGCGCTATTCCTAAGGATCCATCAGACCTGAACAGGAAGGCCTAGGGCATGCCAGGCCATAGTTTGATTTTATAATTTAGGGAGTGGGGATTTTCCCATTCAGCTTCTGGTTGTGTATGTTTGTGTCCCACCTGGGCTGCAAGACCCTGCCTCCCAGGGTGGCTATTGGAAATTGGTGCCCTGATTTGCAAATTGTGGTTCTCAGACTCCCAGCCTCAGGATCCCATTTATGGGAGGTGAGGAGAGCAGCCTTAAAATACAAGTTCCAGCTGGACGCAGTGGCTCACGCCTGGAATGCCAGCACTTTGGGAGCCTGAGGCGGGAGGATCACCTGAGGTCAGGAGTTCAAGACCAGCCTGGCCAACATGGCGAAACCCCATCTCTACTAAAAATACAAAAATTAGCTGGGTGTGGTGGTGTGTGCCTGTAGTCCCAGTTACTCTGAAGGCTGAGGCAGGAGAATTGCTTGAACCGAGGAGGCAGAGGTTGCAGTGAGCCGAGATTACACCGCTGAACTCCAGCCTGGGCAACAGAACGAGACTTGGTCTTAAAAAAAATAAGAGGGCCGGGCGTGGTGGCTCAAGCCTGTAATCCCAGCACTTTGGGAGGCCGAGACGGGCGGATCACGGGTTGCTTCGGATGTAGGCATCCAGGCTAACAGGTGTAACCCCGTTCTTTACTAAAAATACAAAAAACTAGCCGGGCGAGGTGGCGGGCGCCTGTAGTCCCAGCTACTCCGGAGGCTGAGGCAGGAGAATGGCGTAAACCCGGGAGGCGGAGCTTGCAGTGAGCTGAGATCCGGCCACTGCAGTCCAGCCCGGGCTACAGAGCAAGACTCCGTCTCAAAAAAAAAAAAAAGACTTGGTATTAAAAAAAATAAGAGGAAGGCCAGGTGCGGTAGCTCACACCTGTAACCCCAGCACTTTGGGATGCCGAGGTGGGCAGATCACCTGAGGTCAGGAGTTCGAGACCTGCCTGACCAACATGGAGAAACCCCGTCTCTACTAAAAATATAAATTTAGCCGGGCGTGGTGGCGCGTGCCTGTAGTCCCAGCTGCTTGGGAAGCTGAGGCAGGAGAATAGCTTGAACCCTGGAGGCGGAAGTTGCGGTGAGCCGAGATTGCGCCACTGCACTCCAGCCTGGGCAGCAAGAGCGAAACTCTGTCTAAAAATAAATAAATAAATAAATAAATAAATAAATAAATAAGAAGAAGAATAAAATAAAAATACAAGTTCCCAGGCCTGTTGCCCTGGCCGACTGATTCATCATATGTAGGGCTGCGGCCCTGACACATGCATCTTAAACACTGCACCATGTGCGTTTCCACGAGGGTTAGCCATCTCCGGGGTGGGGGAAGAGCAGGGGAGCCATGGCTGTTGGAGATGGGCACCGTTTGATCCACCAAACAGGCTCAGGGTGGCACAATGGCTCAGCAAGGCCTCAGAGTCAGGCAGCTGTGGAGCGAGAGGTGGAAGCCAGACCTGCTAGCTTCCAGGGGCCCCTGCCACACTGGGAAGAGAGGAGGAAGCCGGCACAGCCTGCAAGGGACACCTACACCAGGGGAAGGAGTTTCGTGGGCATCCCGGCGTCTCTCACGCCTCTCCTAGCTCAGCGCCCCCCGGGGAAGCTCAGGCCCCAGATTTGGTTAGGGAGGAGTAAGCAAAGGGTGTTGGCTGTGGGTCCGCCTGCAGGACAGAACTGCAAAGTCAGCCACAGCAAGCAGATGGGCCTTTTCGGGAGGCAGGAGGCACAGCAGCCACCTCCTCTGAGAAGCCACCCTGTCCGCCTCTCTCCCTAGGGCGTGGGGCTGTCTCCTCCAGCCTGGGTGGCCTTTGACGTCTGACCCTCCTCTCCGCACAGGCTCGGTCTGGGGTTCTTGCAGCCGGCACCAGACCCTCCCAGGCCCGGCCCCCCACCCGCCGCGGGGAAGATGCCCGAACAGAGCAATGACTACCGCGTGGTGGTGTTTGGGGCGGGCGGCGTGGGCAAGAGCTCACTGGTGCTGCGCTTCGTGAAGGGCACGTTCCGCGACACGTACATCCCCACCATCGAGGACACCTACCGGCAGGTGATCAGCTGCGACAAGAGTGTGTGCACGCTGCAGATCACAGACACCACCGGCAGCCACCAGTTCCCGGCCATGCAGCGCTTGTCCATCTCCAAGGGCCACGCCTTCATCCTGGTGTTCTCGGTCACCAGCAAGCAGTCACTGGAGGAGCTGGGGCCCATCTACAAGCTCATCGTGCAGATCAAGGGCAGCGTGGAGGACATCCCCGTGATGCTCGTGGGCAACAAGTGTGACGAGACGCAGCGGGAGGTGGACACGCGCGAGGCGCAGGCGGTGGCCCAGGAGTGGAAGTGTGCCTTCATGGAGACCTCGGCCAAGATGAACTACAACGTCAAGGAGCTCTTCCAGGAGCTGCTGACGCTGGAGACCCGCCGGAACATGAGTCTCAACATCGACGGCAAGCGCTCCGGGAAGCAGAAGAGGACAGACCGCGTCAAGGGCAAATGCACCCTCATGTGAGCCCAGAACGCCCGCCTGCCCGCCGCCCACCCCCACTGGCCCCGGCCCCCGCTGCCTCCCCCAACAATGACACCCTCCTCGGCCTCCTCCTCTTCTCTCATCCTTCCTCCGACACCTCGGCTGGGGAAACCGAGGCCACCCCCTCTCCGCTGCCCCTGCCCATCCCGAGGCAGGGCTGGGGCTCTTCCTCCCCCGCTCTCTTTCCACCCTCCTGTTCTGTCTGTACCCGCCCCCCAAAACCAAGAGCTGGAGGTGGCCCCCCTTGTCCTGCAGATGGGAAAACAGGACGGGGGAGCCGGCAAGAGGAGCTGCTTATTCCCGCCGGGATCAGAGGAGGCTGCGTTTCCCCATCTCCATCTCTTTCCCTGGGGTGTCCCCAGCCAGACCTGCGCGTCCCGTCCCTCACATTTGATCACTGTGACCTTCCGGGGGAGGGGGGAGTTGAAAATGCACATCAGCCTCAGATATTTTTTTCTTTTTTTCTCCTGTTTGGTGTTAACATACACCCAAGCCCACCCAGCCCCTCACGACCTCTGATCTGTGCCCCTCCTCCGGTCCCAGAACGCAGCTCTCTCCTCTGTCTTCACACTGGGGTGTGGGGCCCGCGGGATGGGCCTCAGGCCACCAGGCAATAACCACAGGGCCTGCAGCAGTGCCCCTGCCAGCCTCGAGTCCCACCCCCGGTACCGGCCACATCCACAGCACAACTGCCCGGTCGGAGAGGCACCATGAACGTGGAGGGGCTTCCCAGACACCGTCCACCCGGGGACCCGTCTCTTCCACCAAGACAGAGACGTTAGCAACGCATGGTGGGTGGGGACCTGGGGTGCTCAGGAGGGGGTGCCCGGGGCCCTGGCCAGAGAGACATCAGTCACACCCCCGTAGAGGGACAGCCGATAGGACCCAGCACCAGCAGGATCCGAGGGGCCTCCAGGCAGAGGTCTGCCCCGCCCACTTCCTCCCCACCACCTGTGCCCCAGAGAGCAGGGCCCACCCGGGAAGGTGGCGTCCTGGAGTCAGGTGTATCTGTAACCATGAGGTTCTGGGTGTTTTTGTGAGAGAGTCTGAGTGATACCACACTCATGTGACCCCACAGGGTTGTGTCCAACATACACGGAAGTGACTATGGAACGGTGTATTCGGTGTATTTGTGCAACCTGGGGTGCGTGGATGGGTGACTTGTATCTAAGTGCATCTGCGTGTATACCTGTGTGTGTCTGTCTGGGATGGTATGTTTTCGTGGCAGTCTGTGTGTGTAATAGTGGTGTAGGGTCTATAGAGAGGTGGGTAGTTGTAGATACCTGTGTGTGGTTGTCAACAAGACTGGGTATTTGTGATGTGTCTGTGTGAATCTTTGTGCCTGTATGAGCATGACTATATTTTGGGGAGCGGGTGATATGGTTTATCTGAGAGCATGTATCTGTAAATATGTTTGTCCTGATTGAGGGACACGATCTCTGTTCCACTCGATAGCAACGTGACTCTCTAGCCATGTGACTTTTGGTCCCAAATCTGTATCAGTCGGATATTGCTGTGTAACCAGTGACCACCAACGGAGCAACCAGAAACAACACACGTTTATTATCTCATAGATTCTGCAGGTCAGAGCCTGTGTGCAGGTTCGCTGGGTCCTCTACTCGGGATCTCAGGAGGCTGCAATCAAAGCATTGGCCAGGCAGAGGTCTCATCTGAAGGCCTGATCGGGGAAGGATTTGCTTCTTCCAAGCTCATACGGTTGTGGCAGCATTCAGTTCCTTGCTGTTGCAAGACTGAGGGCCTCAGTTCCTCGCTGGCTGTTGGCTGGAAGCTGCTCTTTGTTCTGTGCCATGTGGGTCTCTCCATAGTGGGGCTTGGAGCACGGCAGCTAAGTCAGCGAGGGAAGGTGAAATGGAGGTGTTGGTCTTATTGGGTGTGAGGAAGCACCGTGTGTGTGTGCGCGCGCGTGCGCTTTTGTACACAGAGAGAGAGAGAGAGAGAGAGAGAGAGAGATTGCACGCATGTGTCTCTGTAGTCATGTGGCCAGGTGGGACTATGTAGATAATGTATTGCTCATGTCTGATTTGGTACATGGGACGATGTAGATAACAGATTGCTCATGTCTGATTTGGTACATGGGACGATGTAGATAACATGTTGCTCATGTCTGATTTGGTACATGGGACGATGTAGATAACATGTTGCTCATGTCTGATTTGGTACATGGGACGATGTAGATAACAGATTGGTCGTGTCTGATTTGGTACATGGGACTATGTAGATAACAGATTGGTCGTGTCTGATTTGGTACATGGGACGATGTAGATAACATGTTGCTCATGTCTGATTTGGTACATGGAATGATGTAGATAACATATTTGCTCGTGTCTGATTTGGTACATGAGACGATGTAGATAACATGTTGCTCATGTCTGATTTGGTACATGGGACGATGTAGATAACATATTTGCTCGTGTCTGATTTGGTACATGGACGATGTAGATAACATGTTGCTCGTGTCTGTTGATCTGGTACAAGCATGTTTGTTTTCTCTGTGTTCATGTGAGTGTTTACTCAACAAATGTTTACTGGACACACTCAGAGAGAGGGAGTGTGCATACATGTGTGTGTGTTGCTATCCAGCACCTGGACTGGGCTCCCAGAAGAGCTGGCATTGTGTCTGAGCAGGCCCGGGAGTCCCCCAAAACTTGGAAGGCTGGCCCCAGGGCCCACCAGCGGCTGACATTGCCTCCTCTCCTGTCCTGGCAGTAGCTTCTGGGCTCTGAAGGTGCCGGAGAGAGTGAGGCTGGGCAGGGAGTCTGCAGCCCTTCTCAGGGACACACCCTGATAGCACAATCTCCCTGGGGCCCTGCCCACCTCCCATGAGCCTCTCCCACCCCAGACCCTGCCCCGACCCTGGGAGAGGAGGGGATCTGCAATAGGAGGGCCTGAGCCTGCCCTGGCTGCTGGCCCATACTGCCTGGGCACCGCTGGTGCTGAGGACTGTGCCAGGCCATGCTTGCTGTGACTCCGCCCCCACCCCCTCTCCCCAGCATGTGGGTGTCCCACTCCCCATCGTGGTCTGTAACCTTTGCTCTGGAGCATAGTCTTCCTGCAATAAAAGTGGATCCTGCATTCCCCGCAGCATGGTGCCCGTCTCTGTGGTGGGGGTGGGGTGTCAGTTCACCACCTGCAAAGAATCAGGAAGGGGTGAGGAGGTGCAGGATAGAATTGAAGGGTGGAGGAGGGGCATTAGGTGTAGGAAGTGAGGGATGGGATGAAGGGTGGAGGAGGTGAAGGGTGTAGGAAGTGAGGGATGGGGTGAAGGGTGGAGGAGGTGATGGGTGTAGGAAGTGAGGGATGGGGTGAAGGGTGGAGGAGGTGAAGGGTGTAGGAAGTGAGGGGATGGATGAAGGGTGGAGGAGGCGATGGGTGTAGGAAGTGAGGGATGGGGTGAAGGGTGGAGGAGAGGGGAGACCTGTGTAGAAAGTGAGGATGGGGTGAAGGGTGGAGGAGGTGAAGGGTGTAGGAAGTGAGGGATGGGGTGAAGGGTGGAGGAGGCGATGGGTGTAGGAAGTGAGGGATGGGGTGAAGGGTGGAGGAGGTGAAGGGTGTAGGAAGTGAGGGATGGGATGAAGGGTGGAGGAGGTGAAGGGTGTAGGAAGTGAGGGATGGGATGAAGGGTGGAGGAGGCGATGGGTGTAGGAAGTGAGGGATGGGATGAAGGGTGGAGGAGGCGATGGGTGTAGGAAGTGAGGGATGGGATGAAGAGGTGGAGGAGCGATGGGTGTAGGAAGTGAGGGATGGGGTGGGGGAAGGGTGGAGGAGGGGACCTGTGTAGGGAAATGAGGAATGGAATGGTGGTGGGAAGGTGGAGGATGGGTGAGGACATGCAGCAGGGAGGCAAGGCAGGACCCGTCTGGGACTCTACTTGGAGATGTCTCTATGTGGCTTTCTGAGGCCTCGGTTTCCAGGTTATGCTGTGCACATTGGCTGGAGACATTCTCCCAGCTGGACTTCCTGTGAACTTGGGCAATTTCCTTGCAGGCCCAGTGATGGTGTTGGGAGCAGAGGGGACCGTATTAGTCCATTCTTGCAATGCCATAAAGAAATACCCAGGCCGGGCCAGATGCAGTGGCTCACGCTTGTAATCCCAGCACTTTGGGAGGCCGAAAAGGGCAGATCACCTGAGGCCACAAGTTTGAGACCAGCCTGGCTAACATGGAAAACCCTGTCTCTACTAAAAATACAAAAATTACCCTGTCTCTACTAAAAATACAAAAAATTAGCTGGGAGTGGTGGCAGGCTCCTGTAGTCCCAGCTACTCAGAAGTCTGAGGCAGGAGAATGGCGTGAGCCCTGGGAGCGGAGCTTGCAGTGAGACAAGATCGCACCACTGCACTCCAGCCTGGGCGACAGAGCGAGACTCTGTTTCAAAAAGCAAAACAAAAAACAAACAACAACAACAACTAATTATCTACAGGCGTGGTGGCGGGAGTCTGTAATCCCAGCTACTCGGGAGGCTGAGGCAGGAGGATCACTTGAACCTGGGAGGCGGAGGTTGCAATGAGCTGAGATCATACCGCGTGCTCCAGCCTGGGCAATAGAGTGAAACTCTGTTCCACCCCCACCCTCCCATCCCCAAAAAGACAAGTAATGTCTGAGACAGGTAATTGATAGAGAAAAGAGGTTTAATTGGCTCATGGTTCCACAGCCTGTACAGGAAGCACGGCAGCTGCTACTTTTTTTTTTTTTAGGAGGCCTCAGGAAACTTACGGTCATGGTGGAAGGCAGAGGGGAGCAGGCAGGTCACTTGACTGGAGCAGGAGCACAGGGAGGAAGTGCCACACACTTTACCCAAACCACTGGATCTTGTGAGAACTCTATTATGAGACAGGACTGAGGAGGTGGTGCTAAACCATTCTAGCGAGGATACACCATTGTGACCCAGTCACACCTCCCACTAGAGCACTACCACCTCAACACAGGACTGCAATTCAACATGAGATTTGGGTGGGGACACAGAGCCAAACCATGTCAGGGATGCTCCACTGCTTGTCCCATCCTACCACCCCCCAGCCACTCTACCCCAACCCAGAGCAGGCTGGGGCAGGGTCCTGAGCTAAGAGGTAAAGCCTTGTTCAGGCACAGACTGGAAGGAAGAACTGAGACACCATTCATTCATGTTTTCATTGGTTCATTTATTCATTCATCCACTATGCAAGAGGCACCACTGTATGCCTGGCCCTGCCCTGATGCTGGAGCACACAGCAGTAGTGAACCTAAGCCCAGAGTCCCTGCCCGCTCAGAACTCACTAACCCACCAGGGACAATGATTGTCTATGAAGTAGATCAAATCCTGCAGACACGTGTTCCCTACACAGAAGATAAACCTGCATCACAAAAGTGACGTGGCTGGGAGTCCCAGACCTCTGGGGTCTGACTCAGAAACCCCGACA